GGAGAGATTTAGTTTTGCCGGTATTCAACATATTTGACCAGTCATAGTCCGGTAATTATTTACACTCTAAGAAGAGTCCTACACAACAGACATGGCGTCAAAAAGGAGTAATGTGTGGAAATATTTCGAACAGGTTAGTGAGTGCGGTGTAGAGTGCAAACTATGCCAAATTAAACTTATATACATACTATACCTTGCTATACCCGCAACCTGTTCCAGCTGAGAGGGTCTTCTCTACAGCTGGCCTGATTGTGAATCCCGCACATGAAAGCCTATAGCTGTCAAACTGTGATCACCAGTTCAATACATTTGACAAATTAGACTTGGTTTCGATACTTATTTGGACATGTATGTATTTATTTCCAAAAGTTATTAAAAAAAATTTAGAATTTTATTTTTTACCCAATTTTATTTTTTTATAGGATATGTACATTTCGGTTAACCGGTTAACCGTTTTTTGGGGGGTCGAATATTCGAATATACATTTGCTTTCAAATTCCCATCCCTAATCTCAACCAAGTTTCAATTATAAGTTCCATTTGTAAAAGATCAAACAGCTTTTATAAGATGTTTTTTAAAAGTCTGAGAAAAGAAAAAAATCTTCTTTAGGTTATGTTGTGATTGGTCAACCGCTTAGAGATGTCCCGCCCCCTTAGCCTATCAAAGGCAATGTGTTGGAGCGCGAGCCAATAGAAACGTGAGTGTTACATAGTGATGTTACTATGTTCAGGAAGTAAACAAAGAGTCCAATGGAGGCATGGAAAACTCGAAAACACAGGGATTTTAGCCTTTGCAGACCATTTACATGCACTAAAACCTATATAACACACTACAGGAAAGGGAAAACCCCTAAAATCAGAATAAATTATATTTCTAGGTGCGCTGACGCTATTGCGATAGGGTTTACAAATGACAGGTTAAGGGGTAATGAAATGTTGTTGTGACATTCTTAGTACATTTTGACCCGATCTCCCCCCCCTCTCCACAGTCTCTGAGCCTGACCTGCACCGTGTGGGGCGAGCCGACCCCCGAGGTCTCCTGGTTCAAGAACGAGCAGGAAGTGGCCTCCAACGAGCACACCAGGGTCACCTTCGAGGGCGGCAAGTTCGCCAGCCTAGTCATCAACAAGGTGACGCCCGACGACTCCGGCAAGTACAGCATCAACGTGAGGAACAAGTACGGCGGGGAGTTCGTGGAGATCACCGTCAGCGTGTACCGGCTGGGAGAGAAGATCCCCGAGCCAAAGCTGGGGCAACCCAAAACCACCGCTGCTCCTCCCTCCAAAACCCCAACTCCGACCCCTAAATCCCAGACCCCGGCCTCCATGAAGAGCCCGACTCCCGCCTCTACTCCTGCTTCTACTCCCATCCCTAAATCTCCGACTCCATCTCGCGGCGTGAAAAGTCCGACTCCAGCCAACACTCCCGCTTCTACCCCCATCCCAAAATCTCCAACTCCATCTCGTGGCGTGAAGTCTCCAACTCCACCCAGATTCATGAAGTCTCCCACCCCTCCCAGGAAGTAAAGGGAAGTGGGGAAGTCTGCGGGGGAAATGATTGCTGTTAGCATCGCTGATTCGTAGCATGAGTGTGAAACCACGAGGTTTTAAAGTTGATGTAGTCACTGGTAAAAAGCCTGGATAAACACTTCCAAAAAACGAGCTTCTAACAGTCTTGTTTCTAGAAGTGCTCTATCATTTCTGAGAGCACGATATATATATAATAAAACAAGAGAGGGTGGCTTTAACAGTGGCTACTAGCATACAGTAGATTCCCTTTTCATGTTAATATCATTCAACTGCTTTGAGTGGGATAAAAGAGGCAAAAAACGTAGAAAGAAAAGTAAAACCAGGGTAGATTTTTTTAAAGCTGCACCTTCCACTATGCAACGATAGTGGAACGCCTTTATACATTATGGATGTTAAAGGATAATTCCAGTTTATTACAACTTTGGTCATTATTAAGTCACTTTAAAGCGGTCAGGAAACACAGGCTGTACACAAGTATCCAGGGTAAACACACTTATTTGATGGATAAAAGTCAAAATAAGTGTGATAAAAAATACAGGGTTTTTTAATCATGTTTCCTCCCTTGTCTCTAGCGATGTATTCCCAGGTGTTATCAGTTTACCTGGTGAGTACAAAGGTATCATAACCACAAAAAAGGTGACCAAAACTAACAAAATAAGACCATAATTGTTATTAACGGAAATCACCATTCAACGAAATAACCTGGGAGTCTTCAGGCACAGAGCTGGGTTGGAAATGAACACCAGATTCCAGATCATTTTTGTTTTCTCTCTGGGGTGTTTCAAGTTGTCCTCCTTTATCCCAGGTAGCTTCACCAGCTGACGATGATCCTGTGAGTGAATATATTCATGTCTTCAACATGTCGTGTTTCCCCCAAAGCTTTGAAACGGCAATAAACGTTACTTATCAACCTCCTCTCTGTGTCTCTGTGATTAATATCGTCTCTCTTGTTCAGCTCTTATAAGGACGTTTGAGATAGTTTTGCCCCAAAAGAAGAAGGGTTTATTGGTTTAAACTCTGTCCAGATGATTGTATAGTTGTCATTAAACCTATAGATTTTAAGGTTCAGATATCCGCCTGTTTGTAAACTACATGGATCTCTAAATATTAAATATTTTAAAATTACTGACAAGTGAAGGTACTATCTCCAAACACCAGAGGCCTCGACATCAGTAAAAGTGATTCACCCATACTTCTCTTAAAGGTGGGGTAGGTAATTTTGGAGAAACCAGCTCGAGTGCGCTAGAGTTTGAAAATAGACAGCCGGAACAAATCTGCCACTTCCTCACAGAGCCCCTCCTCCAACACACACGAACACGCACATGACCAATGAGGGCACGAGATAAATTTGTGCACAGATGGTAGGCTGACAGGCAGGTAGGCCATCCAGTTACTTTAGCCGGGCCGGCTCAGATGATTGGTCGTGCTTTTTACAGCGCCACGGCTTCCAGAGATGATATTATTATGGATTTGTTGTCAAAGCACTTGTTAAGAGCATTCCATGGAATATAACAACAAGTGTATCTCGAGACTTATCTGCCCCACCTTTAATTTAAGTAATCATTTCTTTAATTAACCCTCCTCTGTTTCGGCCCAGAGTTTTCTCTTTGTCATGGCATTTATATTTCATGCCCCAGAATGCACCACGGCTCCAATTCCTGTATGTTTTGAAGTGATAGATGGCGTGTTAGAAATACTTTATACTGTATATCCCCACTGTGTAGCATGACGGGAAACCATGTTGAGACTTTGAGTTTGTTTTTAAGTACAGAAAAGAGTGAGTGACCTTGGATCATTATTGAATTACGACTATTGAGTTTATCCCAGTCATTATCTTTAGCTGATACTCCCTGATCACATTTCAAACTTAGAGAATTTATTCAAAAATAATTTGCAGTCAAGTCTGAATCCTCTTGGAGATTAAGGTTTCTCCTCCCAGGCTGCAAATTGCTCTCAACAGAAACCAGTGAGTCCTTTGCAGGATGAGTGGGTGATACACACTAATGGCTACCAATACAAACCCTTTATTGGAGTTCAAAATGAAAACGCGGATACAAGCGGCCGAGATGGGTTTTCTCCGCAGGGTGGCTGGTGTCTCCCTTAGGGATAAGGTGAGAAGTTCGGTCATCAGGGAGGGACTCGGAGTTGAGCCGCTCCTCCTTCGCGTCGAAAGGAGCCAGTTGAGGTGGTTCGGGCACCTAGTTAGGATGCCACCTGGGTGCCTCCCTAGGGAGGTGTTCCAGGCACGTCCAGCTGGGAAGAGACCAAGGGGTAGACCTAGGACCAGGTGGAGGGATTATATCTCTTTGCTGGCCTGGGAGCGCCTTGGGATCCCCCAGTCAGAGCTGGTTGATGTCGCCAGGGAAAAGAAAGTTTGGGGCTCTCTACTGGAACTGCTACCCCCGCGACCCGACCACGGATAAGCGGGAGAAGATGGATGGATGGAAAATGAAAACACAACAATTCAAACTGGAGTTCAATATGATGAACTTGCTTACAAATGAGATATTACCCCTAAGACATATTAAAACGATCTAACAGAAATACTTTTAAAGAAAAATATACTAAACCAATTCCTTTGCAATCAATGTGTATTCTCTTGAATATTATAGTACTCTTTCACATTGTTAGAGGCACTTGAAACTGCACCTTGGCAATTGTAAGGTTCATATCAGTATTTAGTGTCTCTACTTTAAAGAGTCCTCTCCTGCTGATGCTCAGGTGTATATCAGTATGTAGTGTCTCTACTTTAAAGAGCCCTCTCCTGCTGATGTTCAGGTGTATATCAGTATGTAGTGTATCTACTTTAAAGAGTCCTCTCCTGCTGATGTTCAGGTGTATATCAGTATGTAGTGTCTGTACTTTAAAGAGTCCTCTCCTGCTGATGTTCAGGTGTATATCAGTATGTAGTGTCTCTACTTTAAAGAGTCCTCTCCTGCTGATGTTCAGGTGTATATCAGTATGTAGTGTCTCTACTTTAAAGAGTCCTCTCCTGCTGATGTTCAGGTGTATATCAGTATGTAGTGTCTCTACTTTAAAGAGTCCTCTCCTGCTGATGTTCAGGTGTATATCAGTATGTAGTGTCTCTACTTTAAAGAGTCCTCTCCTGCTGATGTTCAGGTGTATATCAGTATGTAGTGTCTCTACTTTAAAGAGTCCTCTCCTGCTGATGTTCAGGTGTATATCAGTATGTAGTGTCTCTACTTTAAAGAGTCATCTCCTGCTGATGTTCAGGTGTATATCAGTATGTAGTGTCTCTACTTTAAAGAGTCCTCTCCTGCTGATGTTCAGGTGTATATCACAGCCTGTCCTCCTACAAAAAACGACCATATAGGTCGATTGTTCAGCAGCTAAATACGACCCAGAGTCACGTTTTAAAGTGTAGCACCTCTAGTGGTCGTGTAAGAAACAACATGCTCCTGTCGATTGCAAACGCTCCGGAGGGTCGTTATTCACAAATTACCCTCTGGAAAATCCTAAATTGTGGAATAGTTTGGCCATTAAAATGCTTTTTTATTAGATTTCTAGCGAGAAGTGTATATTGTACTTTTATAATCTACGTCCAGTGGATGTGTAGGATCTACAGTTTGATAGATATACGAAGATAATTTGAGGTCTCGCCAGGAGAACGTGTACTGTATATGGGGCAGCTTACATGTAAAGTTAGCATGGGTGAAAACAGCATTTCCGGTCTCGAAGTTTTCATAATAAAACCGGAAGTATTCCCCACACTGTCAAATGATCTCCATTACTCATCCACTTAAAAACATCAGTTTATCCTTGTTATTACACAATATTGATTGGTTTAAATTGTGTACAATGCTTTTGTGTTTTTAACCGTCGATTCGGAGATACAAATAGTTTTTTCGGAGTTTAGACACTACAGAGTTTCCGAAGACACTACACTACCCAGAAACCCCAGCTATCGTTTGGGACTACAACATCCGCCTTGCTTTACAAACCCCGTGATTAGCCCTCAAGCTCTGTGATTGGATGTTGGAGTGGCAGTGCGACAAGGCTACGCCGAATGTCAAACAGCTCTTTGAAATGGAACGGAACCACGCCAGACTATCCAAAACTGGACTTGGACGGGTCCAGCCCAGCCCTCCCCCACAGAATTGCACATGCTGGCTATTGTGTGTTTCGCAATATGTTCTATGGCAAGTCTCTACTGGGAATTGTAGTTTTATAAGACGTTTTCGTATTTCCCACAATTAGAAGTTGCCAGTATTAAACTGTATACATCCCTGGAGGTTTAGGGGATACGAAACACATTGGTGTTATCAAATTTAAAACATATAATTAATACATGGGTGAAAATTGCTTGTGCCCATAATGGGCAGCATTAATATACCCACATGACAGCTAAGGTCAGAAGAGCTTTATTTAACAGCTGGTCTTATGTCTGTGACCCCTCCTGTTGTTAATTGATAAGCCTGAAACATGCACTTGTCAAGGTTCAGATGCACATTTAGCAAATATGGCAGTAGCCATCGATCATCTTAAGATAATATACTTTATTGATCCCAAGTTGGGAAATGTTTTTGTTACAGCAGCATGTACTACTTTGTTCTACTCCACTACAATTCAGAGGTCAACCTGGTATTTTTACTCTACTACATTTATTTGTGTTACTTTGCAGATTCTGATTAATGATGTGAAATATAAACAACCCTTAAATCAGACTTTCGTTACACCTGAGTAAAATTCAGCCTTATCAGTTTGTCTGTTTTGCACATCCTCCTGTTAATATCTTTGGACGTCCTGCACTAAACTGTTTTATTGTAGAGATCACTACAGTATCTTCTTGATATTTTCTATTCTATATTTCTATCATTGACCCCTATTTTGTATGTAGGCTACTCTTAATATTTAAATGTTTTCATACAAATTAAACTTATTCAACAACTAAATTCAATAACGTGCTTTAACCACTAGGAGGTACGGTTTAGACCAGTGGTCTAGTTAATAAAACATAATAATATCAAACATAATATGACTATTCACTTTATTGTGAAATTAAAACAGAACGGTAAAGGAAAATACAGTTTCAGTCTCTCAATGTGAAGATTATGCATTGTACCATACACTTTTATAGACCTGTAACAGTCAACTGCATGAGGAGTTGGAAAGGTAGTTCAGAAAATCAGTAATATCTTTAAAAACTACAAAACAATCACTTTCTATCAGCTGTGCACCGTTATGGTGTAAATACAGACTATCTACTTATTCGATCAAATATAAAAGTCAGCCGAATTAGTGTTGATACTGCAAGGAAACGTATTGTGTGAAAAGAAATGGAAGATGTTGTTTAATTGTTGATATTTTATGGTCCACGTCACGTATTCAGTTTTGGCGGCATCTCTTCCAGTTTGTCAAAAGGTCTTCTCATCAGGGCTCTATAAATACATATCTACGGCAGATATGTAATATTTAATGCAGCCGAACCGTGTATTACAATGCCGTTATGTGATGACTTCCAAAGAGAAAAGCAAGAACACTCGGAATAAAGTATTATTATTTTTTTTAAAAATGTTTTCCGATTTCATATCACATAAACACCATATCCCGACGTGCATTGCGGCGTGATTTTAGCCTTTATCAAAACCTCTGAAAAAAGAAATGTGTCTCTCAGAATCGAAAGAGAAAACCCTATGGGAAAAACACAAAAGCATTGTACACAATTTAAACCAATTGATGTCGTATAATTAACTAGGATAAACTGATGTTTTTTAGTGGATGAGTACTGCAGATATCACTGTTAAATCATTTGATCATTGGTTTTATTATGAAAACGTCGAGACCGGAAATACTGTTTCCAACCCGTAACTTTACATGGAAGCTTGCCGCATATACACGTTCTCCTGACGAAACCTCAAATCATCTTCGTAATATCTATCAAACTATAGATCCTACATAACGACTGGACGTGGATTCTAAAAGTACAATATATACTTCTCGCTAGAAATCTAATCATAAAGCGTTTTAATGGCCAAACTATCCTACAATTTAGGATTTTACAGAGAGGGTTATTTGTGAATAAACGACCATCTGTAACGTTTGCATTCAACGGGAGCACTAGAGGCCGACAACTTTAAAACGTAATTATAGGTCGTATTAAGTGCTTGAACAAACGACATATTTGGTCGTAATAAGGGCTTGAACAATCGACCCATTTGGTCGTATGAGTTGGAGGACTTGTTGGTATATCAGTATGTAGGGTCTCTACTTTAAAGAGTCCTCTCCTGCTGATGTTCAGGTGTATATCAGTATGTATTGTCTCTACTTTAAAGAGTCCTCTCCTGCTGATGTCCAGGTCTATATCAGTATGTAGGGTCTCTACTTTAAAGAGTCCTCTCCTGCTGATGTTCAGGTGTATATCAGTGTGTAGTGTCTCTACTTTAAAGAGTCCTCTCCTGCTGATGTTCAGGTGTATATCAGTATGTAGTGTCTCTACTTTAAAGAGTCCTCTCCTGCTGATGTTCAGGTGTATATCAGTATGTAGTGTCTCTACTTTAAAGAGTCCTCTCCTGCTGATGTTCAGGTGTATATCAGTATGTAGTGTCCTCTACTTTAAAGAGTCCTCTCCTGCTGATGTTCAGGTGTATATCAGTATGTAGTGTCTCTACTTTAAAGAGTCCTCTCCTGCTGGTGTTCAGGTGTATATCAGTATGTAGTGTTCTCTACTTTAAAGAGTCCTCTCCTGCTGATGTTCAGGTGTATATCAGTATGTAGTGTCTCTACTTTAAAGAGTCCTCTCCTGCTGATGTTCAGGTGTATATCAGTATGTAGTGTCTCTACTTTAAAGAGTCCTCTCCTGCTGATGTTCAGGTGTATATCAGTATGTAGTGTCTCTACTTTAAAAGAGTCCTCTCCTGCTGATGTTCAGGTGTATATCAGTATGTAGTGTCTCTACTTTAAAGAGTCCTCTCCTGCTGATGTTCAGGTGTATATCAGTATGTTGTGTCTCTACATGTCTCCATGCTTTAATGTTCAAAAAGCTCTTTATTTCTCTCATACTCTCTGTGCTGCAGCACCTCTTTTCACCCTCTGTCTGAAACCAGAGCCCAGTCTGCTCTGATTGGTTAGCTGGCCGGCTCTGTTGTGATTGGTCAACCACATAGAGATGTCCCGCCCCTTAGCCTATCACGTATAATGTGTTGGAGCCCTAGCCAATAAAAGGGTGAGTGTACAGTGATGTCACTTAGTTCAGGAAGTAAACAAAGGAGTCGAATGGAGGAGTTTCAGGCAGGGGGGGGGGGGAGGAAACACAGGGATTGTAGCCTTTGCAGACCATTTACATGCACACAAATTAACACACTACAGGGAAGAGAGAACCCTAAAAAGCTTAATTGGGCCTATACAAAGTTTTCCTCTCAAACTTCTAACTACACGTAATCCATCTTTTGTAGCAGGATCATTTTGAAAGGTAATGTACTGTTTGTCAGGAGGTACCCTGATTCATGCAGCTGCACTGAATAAACAAACACAAACATGCTCATATTGTGTTGTATTCAGGCTCAAAGGGTAAACAAACCTGCTCTCACACCTGAAACTCTCAGGTGAGCAGAGAGGGGCGGGGCTTGTTTCAGAATGAGATCTGTCAGTGCTGCCAACAGGGTAGGTACGAGTACTCTTCCTCTGAATAGACACTTCAAATCCACACCTTACTGCTGCTGCTGATTCATACACACACACATGAACACACACACACACACACTTCACTTTGTTCCTTCTAAGCTGTTGGAGGACTCAGCACAGGATTTATTTTACCAGTCATGAAGTAAGTCTGTAAATCTTTTTCGTTAAAAAGTTAAAGGATATCCGCATGTCTTGAACTGTTTTCTTGCTTCTGGTGAATAGCACTTGTTAGACAGGTTTTCACATTTTCCCACTCATTGAGTTCTTCTTTATAAAATGTTACTGTGACTATAGGCGTCACATGAATGTAGACGACTCAAAAGTACTGTATTGTTCTCTGAATTCATGTGGAGTGAAGTTTAAAGAAGCATAACGTTACGTCCAACACTGGTCTTGACCCTACATTATGAGACAAAGCTTGAAAAAGTTATTCTGCTTTATGATGAACTTTTACAGGAAACGTTGTCATTTAATCCTAAAAACCCCTTTTTTCTTAATCACTCGACTCTCCTGTTGTTATTGCAGTTTCACTACTACTAAGTCATTTATTCAGATTTGATAAGCACAAATGATTACATTGCTTTTTAAAGAGATGTTATCCTTTTAGAATAAAAAATTCACCGCCTATTGGCTTAAAATGTATACAACTCGGTTGCCATGCATTGAAAACGTTTTAAACACAAGAAAACAGTAACATCTTAAACCATTCCTGCACAAAAATCCACTTTTTTGGTGCCTAACAAATCAAATCCAGTATTTTGAGAGAAATAATCAGGTTATCTAATGCTAGAATCAAATAATACAAACTCTATTGATGCACAAGGGAATAATTTATACAAAACATATATAAATATCTGGAATTGGTTGCTCGAAAGTTGGTGTTAAAAGAAATTGCCTGCTTGTTGTTGTCAGTTTCAGTACATTTGAGTGTGTTTTGACACCAGAAAACAAAAGCATCTCAAACCATTCCTGCTAAAATAATCCTCTTATTGAGCGTGTTTAAGACCTTTATGATGATTTCTGTTTTACTTTTTACTTCTACTCCACTACATTTCAGTGGCAAATTGGCAAAACTGTATATTTGTTATTAAAATGTTATCCAACTGTCTTGCATGCCTGTCACTGTTTACCTAACTGTTGTAAATTGCACTTGTTGGACAGGTTTTTATATTTTCTCTCTCATTGAGCTCTCCAGTGTTGCTTCATTTACATTTTGTAGTGTGGCAGCATGTAAACAGCAACCTTCCTTTTTATTTCATTGATTGGTTTCATCTGTCTTTATCGATTGATATAGTTAGTATCCGAATAAAAAGGGTCACATATCAGAAATCCTTTATTTGCCCCACAGAAGTGACATTTATGGTGCTACCTCATAATTGGTTGGTTGGTTGGTTGTTGGTTGGTTGGTTGGTTGGTTGGTTGGTTGGTTGGTTGGTTGGTTGGTTGGTTGGTTGGTTGAATTAATGAATGGATGAATGGATGGGTTGGTTGATGGATGGATGGATGTATTGGCGGACGGATGGTTTGATTGGTTGGTTGGTTGGTTAGTTAGTTAGTTAGTTAGTTAGTTAGTTAGTTAGTTAGTTAGTTAGTTAGTTGATTGATTGGTTAGTTGATTGATTATTAACACATCTTCTCACATTAAAGGTAAAGAGAGGCCTGTGGAGATTTTTCGACCATGGAGTCCAATCTGTCCGGCCTGTCTTCCCTGAAAGAAGAAGGCGATCTGCTCTACATTCAGCCACATTATAAGGAGACTTATCGCCTGGCCATCTACGCGCTGCTGTGTGGAGGCCAGGAGGCGTACGAGGAGTTCCTCAGGGTGGAGCAGATCAGCCACTTCCTGTCGGAGGAGGAGATCCAGTTCATTTTGGAGCATGCAGAGCTACCGGTGCTGGAGGACGACGACTCCTCGGAGGGGAAGAAGGTCACGGATGAAGCCAGCCCCTCCACCTACTTCCCCACTGAGTCCGATGAGGAGGTGCCGGACCTGGACCTGGGCTGGCCTGAGGTCTCTCTGGAGGGGGCGGAGACCTCCATCAGCCTGCTGTTCAACCCCCCCAGGCTCAACACCCCCACCATCAAAGAGGTGGTGCGCAAACAGATCCAGGAGGCCAGGCTGGTGAGAACTAAATACTGTTACATACTTTCAAACACAGGGGGAGAAGTACTCAGATCCATAGGTGTCCTTTACACTGGGGAAGCTGGGGACTTTTTTAAAGAATACTGTATGTTAATAATTTTCTGCGTGCACCAAGAAATGTAATAATGCGAATGTTTCAGAAGGGTTTGTTTGCACAATAAAACAGCAGGAAGTGCAATGTAAATATATATTTTTTAAATATGCATAGTCTGAAGAATCTAACAAGTTAACAAAGAAAAAAACAACCTACTGACAAAAAATGCACCAATAAGTTGAACAAATGTAAGTTCTAATTTCTTACTCGTTAATGATTTCCTATGAATGACCGTCATTTTTGCGAATAACAATTTAGCATTACGCTCTTATGATACACAGTAATGCATTTTTTAGAATAATACGTCAAAACACACATATAATAATATTTACACACGGCATCTATTGCACGTCTGCCCGTCCTGGGAGAGGGATCCCTCCTCTGTTGCTCTCCCTGAGGTTTCTCCCATGTTCCCTTTAAACTGTGGGTTTTCTCCGGAAGTGTTTCCTTGTACGATGTGAGGGTCTAAGGACAGAGGGTCTAAGGACAGAGGGTCTAAGGATAGAGGGTCTAAGGACAGAGGGTCTAAGGACAGAGGGTGTCGTATTGCCATACTGATATTCTGTACACACTGTGAAGTCCACTGAGACAAATGTAACATTTGTGATATTGGGCTATATAAATAAACATTGATTGATTGATTGAAATGATATAAATTGCGTGTTAAAGGTTTTATCTGAGCCCTTATGTCCAAAACACTTATCCAGGAAAAGTGACGCCTTTGCTCGGATACTCAACTTAGCTAAAGGAGAAATACTGTGATCTTAAAATACTTCATTACGAGTACAGTTTAAATGTCCTATTCGTAGAAGTACAGACATATTATTAAGCAAAACTGTGAAAAGTAAGAGTATACTCTCAATAGTACAACAGACCAGTGTGTTTATGTATTTTAAAATACAAGTACTGTATGTCAGAAGTAAAGTTAGGTAAACACCTGAGTAAATGCACTTTCTACTACTGTTTTTAAAAAGCGCAGTGAAGGTGAGGTCAGAGTTATGCGTCAGCAGGATGAATGTGAGGAGTTTCATCTCACTGTTTTTGGTGCTCACACCCAAAGACACAAAGTAATGGACAGCACAAAGACACAATGAGAGGCGTTGAAGAAGAGCAGAAAACACACATCTAACTACATTTTTCTCTGCATAAACAACAGCTCACTGAACGCCCTGTGGTGCTCATCCCATGGTCTAAAAATACACCAGCTGTAGTAAAGTAATGCATTGCAAACAACTTGTACGATATGAAGGCCGGTAATGGCTGGATTTTATAACGCATCAAAAGGCTCCAGCTTTAAGAGAAATGTCTCTACACTTGACTTGGGATATTTCAAACAAGAAACAAATCAGAAAATCGCTTATCAGCAAATAAATATAATATAATTGTATCATTAAGAGTCACGAGCCCAGCAGTAAGTTATACAAAACATATTATCATCTAGAATATTAAGGTGATGAGCACATGGATACATCAACAACCGTAATACCATATACTGTATGTTATTATGAAATAAAATGCATTATGTTCTTCTGTGATTTGAAGCAGAGTTTTAAGCCTCTTGTATTTAAAACGCAGGACTTTTACTCGTAACGCAGTGTTTTTGCGTAAAACATCTGACTCCCTAAGCTGAACAGCAGATGTTGGCACTATAATATAAGTACATGTTTGTTGTAACAGTTTATTACATAAGAGAAAGTGAGCAGCAACAAGTACTTTGTGAGGAAAGGAGTACAAGTCTGTGCAGCAGCTATTAAAGTGAAACGTGTGACCTTCAGCTGGCAGGAAACTGACTTTTAGAAATAAAACACCTGAGGAGATGGATTAGTCTGCTCTTCCAAATATCAATAATGAATCCACTTGCCTCTGCATGAGTAACATGTCTTTACATTTACAAAATATGCATTTTACTCCCCACACCCTCTGTGTTCATCCGTTCATCCTCACAGACAGAAACAGATCATTTGCATGCAGAGAGAAGTAGAAAGGTCTGAATAGAAAAGGTTAACGTAAAGGCCAAGTTCTCCTTCAGACACTCGGCAACGTGTCTTAGTCTGTGTGTTCTCTGCTGGAGCTAATCATTCACAAAGTACTGTGGGGGGGTGTGTGTGTGTGTGTGGTGTGTGTGTGTGTGTGTGTGTGTGTGTGTGTGTGTGTGTGTGTGTGTGTGTGTGTGTGTGTGTGTGTGTGTGTGTGTGTGTGTGTGTGTGTGTGTCCACCTTCTGAGGATGATGTATGTATTGCTTACAGTGTATCAGCTTGATTTGCACTTCTTGTATTCATGTCCTGTAAAACATTTGCATTGAACAAACCATAAATCAGATTTCAGGTAGCTCCTTTATCCCCTCAGAGAACCACTCCTCTTCTAATTACTGAAACATGTATTTAGAAGAACATCCTGCGTGTGTGTCAGAATAATAATATACCTCGTAAAGTTTCAAAAAGAGCTAACTCTTTAATAACACGGTGAGCATACCGATCCTTTTTTATTCTTCCATGGCAAGTATGTTTTAATGATGTCTTGAAATGGCTTAAATCACGATAAAAAACATTCAATATTGCCACAAAAAAGGTTAAAAGTTTGTGTTTACATGTTGTGCATGCAGACAAAGAAATGCACACATCCCGATATATAGTCATTCCTTTGTTCACACCCTCTTTTACATCTTAATCAGAAATCAAATACATGTTGAATAAAATAGAAACTAATACAAATCTTAATGCAAACGTAAGAAGACATTTAAACCTAAGAAGTTAAAGGAAAGATGTCCCAATCAAAGATAAAATAAATAATAGTTACACTCAGGGCCGTCCCTCCTTACAGGCCGATCATGCAGACTGCGTGGAGCCTCACCTATGCGCTTATGCGGCGCAATTAGTGTGGCGCGGCACGGTTTCGCCGCTGCGAGGCTCCACTAGCACCAATAAAATAAAATAAAACAATACAAAACAAAAATGTATTTAAACATAAATAACAATGTGTTTCACTTGGAGGAACATTTGTTGAGCAACATCTGTCAAATAAATGTCTTCATAACTCGGAATCCTTTTTCAATTTTTCAACTCTCACAGAATAACTTTGTTTTTCTTCCTGTATTAAAATGTGTTTTCAATTGTTTATCGTTTCTCCAGTGTATCGCCATAGCGATGGACGTGTTCACTGACGTGGATATTTTCAAAGAGATCGTCACGGCCACGCTGAGAGGAGTGGTGGTTTACATCCTGCTGGACCAGTCTCAGATCAGGAGCTTCCTCAACATGTCGCAGAGGGTGGGCATCAACATCCAGGACCTCAAGGTGGGACATAAAGAACATTAGACGTTGGTTTCTGCCGCCATATTACACAGGAGCTTAAAGGTGCCATTTTGGAAGTTACTGTATCTACCGTTGGGAATGAAGTGGAGCTTCGCAACCCAACACATCTCGCTTTAAGCCTTATTCTAGTGCAATGACACGATATTGAGTGGGACGAGTGTCATTTGGAAAAAAACACAGATTTTTGTCTGTGAGTTGAGGGACATTTCAGAGGATCTCAGTCTCCCATTTGAGTGTTTCTTAAAGTCTAACTTATGGAAAACAAGCAAGTTATTATATGTTTATGTGTTAATCTCATGACAATTTAACAGCATGACAAAACTTTAACTTATTTTAAATCTAGACACCAAAACTAAATCTGTAATAATAATAATAATAATAAATAATATTTTTATAGCGCCTTTCAGGAAACCCAAGGTCGCTTGGTCGCTGTACATTTTGTAACCTTGTCAATCCGGTAATATAATAGTGCCTTATATTTTTGTATTTTCTTTGCTGCTATTACTGTTTTAATGTATCTGTTTCTATTTCAAACTACATAGAGATAGATCTGCACATTTTGTGTTGCACAACAAGTATAATGACAATGATGATGTTGTGATTAATTGTGATTTGAGGTTTAAAACAGAAAAAGGTTCCAGAGTTATTTTTGTATTTCTGCCCCTGCACCATCATGTCCATCCACCAGTTTAGACATCCACCTGTCAGGGTGATGCTTGTTCTTTATCCAGAGAAGTGCAGTAGTCTTTGGATCAAACTACTGCTTGTCCACTAGTCGTGTTACCATTACCAGCGGACATGTCTTTCGTTTTCTGAGAGTCCCAGTGCAATAGCATGTGATCTGTCCACAGAAAGCCAAAGGGCAAGAGCCTGGAGATCTTTGGGTTCATGAAGGGACAGATGATCACAGTGTAGACTTAGCGTGAATCTTTCTTGCTGTAACAATGTATTAAACGTAATTTAACATTTGTTTGAAGGGCTGAAAGGGACCGAGTATGGGCTCAGAACAGTCTCATAATACACACATGCACACAGAAGGATTCAAACTTGTATTTGCGGATCCATACTTGTGTTTTCAATGCACACACAAATGTGTTCCGTTTCATATACATGTAAATAAAATCCAAATACAGAAAAAAGTTTTACATAGGCCTATGTATTTTTGATCCTCACTTATTAGTTTTCCGTTTAAATCCCCTGCACCTGCAAACACAAACCGCTTTCTGTGCACGGATCGCTGTGCATTCGTGTGTGGGTTTTTTGAGACTCCCCTGACGGTCAGCCGATTCGTACTTGTAATTTGTTCTATCTATAGCCAATCAGATGTCTCCTTCATTCTAAGCCAATCACATGAGCGCGCCCCCACGAGGTTAAGATTACTTCATATACGCATTTTGCGCAGTCCGGTCAGCTCGCTAAACAGAGGGCGGAGCATTAGGTGATCATGCAGAGCTGCGTGTCTCCATCAGACTCAGCAGCTGATCTGATCTCTCTCTTGCGTCCGGTTATACTTCACTCGCGTTTATGTCCATATCGATCAGATCCAGCTCTCCTGGTCGGCCTTTATAGAGAGCACCGATCAAACTATTTAGAGTGAATATCGGCCGATAATGACCGGCGGGGCTCCCCCCCGTTAACAGTTCACTGTCTAGCACTGGCTTCGTAGTGCACTGATCGATTAGGCTAAGCTAACCTGTAACAACTTCATACAGACATAAATAAAGCAGCTGTATTCGCCATACAGGAAACACACATGTAAAACGGTTTTGCCTGTCGTTTTTGTGTACACAAGCATTCATAAATGATTCGGAAAGTGGCGCTGTACCTTAATAATATAAAGGCTTGTATTTGCGTGCATTTCCTGTTCGGAAAGTGTACTGAGAGTGGAGGGTGTCCTGAGATTAGCGCCTGCAGGCAGGCTCCATGGAGCTATCAGCTCCGGACTGCGCAAAATGCGTACATGAAGCGCTACGTCATGAACGCAAGAAATCTACCCTCGTGGGGGCGCGCTCATGTGATTGGCTTAGAATTGAGGAGACATCTGATTGGCTATAGATAGAAATAATTACAAGTACGAATCGGCTGACCGTCAGGGGAGTCTCAAAAAACCCACACACGAATGCACAGCGATCCGTGCACAGAAAGCGGTTTGTGTTTGCAGGTTCAGAGGTTTTAAACGGAAAACAAATATGTGAGGATCAAAAATACATATGTAAAACTTTTTTCTGTATTTGGATTTTATTTACATGCATATGAAACGGAATACATTTGTGTATGCATTGAAAAACACAAGTATGGATCCGGAAATACAAGTGTGAAACCTTTTGCGGATCATGAAATACAAGTGTGAATCCTTCTGTGCGCATGTGTGTATTATGAGACTGTTCTGAGCCCATAACCAAGTGTGATATCCCGGAGGTGTATAAGGATCAAGGCTTTTATGAGTGGGTCGATGTTCTCATGCAACGAATACAGAATGACATGCACAAGCCTGCAGTGACCTTTGCAGTCTTACGCAATTACACTGATCTAATAATGGTGAGAAAGTCCTGAAAAAGGCAGTAAGATAAATGTAGTCAGAGATTTGTAATCTGTGAAAACATGAGTTTTGCAAATGCTTAATAAGAAAGAAACACAAGTTAGTTTGACCTCAAAGATGCACATAATGTGATTTTGTAAAATAAACAAAGACTCCACAGGCCATCTCTATTGCTTCAATTAGTTTGACCAATTGAACACAATACATCCTAAATCTACTCACCATTAATCATTCTAGAAAGATAAGCATCCTTGATGGACTCAAACATTGATTTCTTAAATGCACGTGTGGAGTTTAGGATTTTAAGATTTAGAAATTGCTTATTTTCTGGAAAATTCGAAGAATAGGAAGATAGACTAATTAAAGCTATTAAACCACACTCAAAAGTAAACAATCTAACACAATAACACCATTTTCGGAAAACGCCCCGTCTTCCCGCCCTTTTAGCCGTATTTTTGCAGATTGTTATTCCCCCGATGAATAGAATAGAAACATTTAATGTCATTGCGCATGTACATGATGTCTCCTGCAGAGGAAGCTTTGCCTGTGGCTCGACCTTTCTTCTGTTGGCAGAGCTTTCAGTGGCTTAAGTCTGACATTTGCTCCACACCCTGGTGAAAGCGCTGTCATTTACCAGCACGTCCCTGCTACGTGCACCATTACCTGTCATTATTCATGCGAGACACCGTAGGACAGATCTGTTCGAGGCTGGATTTTCCTGTTGAGCAGCAGCAAGAGGAGGTTAGAGCAGGAAGAGAAACACATCACGCTGAAAGAAGAAACCGCTGAGACAGTATTATAAATACCAGACGCAGAGAAACTGACACACAGGTTTCATCATGTTGAGGATCACAAAGGGTGTGTGTGTGTGTGTGTGTGTGTGTGTCTGTCTGTCTGTCTGTCTGTCTGTCTGCCTGCCTGTCTGTCTGTCTGTCTGTCTGTCTGTCTGCCTGCCTGCCTGCCTGCCTGCCTGCCTGCCTGCCTGCCTGCCTGCCTGCCTGTCTTGTCTGTCTGTCTGTCTGTCTGTCTGTCTGTCTGTCTGTCTGTCTGTCTGCCTGCCTGCCTGTCTGTCTGCCTGCCTGCCTGTCTGTCTGTCTGTCTGTCTGTCTGCCTGTCTGCCTGTCTGTCTGTCTGTCTGCCTGCCTGCCTGCCTGTCTGTCTGTCTGTCTGTCTGTCTGTCTGTCTGTCTGTCTGTCTGTCTGCCTGTCTGTCTGTCTGCCTCTCTGCCTGTCTGTCTGTCTGTCTGTCTGTCTGTCTGTCTGTCTGTCTGTCTGTCTGTTTGTCTGTCTGAAGCCTGGGTAAAATACAATGTCTTCTGATTTAAGGCAGAATGAAAGGAGATGTACATGTATTAAATATCTAAGACTGATGGACTGTGTTTGTTGAATTCACTTTTAACTCTTCACCTAAACTAACCGATTATTATTAATCCCCTCGGGGAAATGCAGTTTTTACTCTGTTGTTATACAGTTATAGAACAGTTGATACAAACACATGCACAAACAGGATCTATACATGCATTAATGGAGAGGTTTTTGGGGAAAGGATGGCCATAGTATAGCACCTTGGGGCACTTTGGGGAGATTGTTGCATTGCTCCAGAAAACCATTGTTTGTTTTTAAATATAATGTATTCATTTTTATTTTGTTGGTCTGTGCAGTGATTTGAACCAGTGACCGTTTGGTGACCATCTGGTTCCCAGGTCAAGTCAACACAATTGCTCTTCTGCCTGAGTCCCTGAAAGAGTCGAAATTGTCATTGCTATAACGTGGTCCAATACAAATGTTGCTTTCTTTTTCCACAAAGCCAATGGGCTGGCGGCAACGGGTCAACCAGGAAGTGCATAAGCTACTGCTCAACACACAGAACTTTGTCTTTACATTTCATGCTTGAAAATGGCAGTTTTCTCAGTTACAGCTAGTTAGCATGATGTAGCAGAGCAAAGAAACTCCACTCCAAATACTGCTAATGTGGCTGCGTATCTGCTGGATGGTTAAATGCTAAAGTATGTCTAACCTGGTGACCTTTTTGTGTTTGTTTCTCCATCAGAAGCTCCGTGTTCGGACGGTTCCTGGGCTGCGGTATCAGTGCCGCTCCGGGGTGAAGTTCAGTGGAGATTTGGAGCAAAGATTTATTCTGGTGGACTGCCGAACAGTGCTGTTTGGAACATACAGGTGAGTCAGTCCTACTTTTACCCTTGTTCACATGTATTCAAGGCAAGGCAAGGCAAGTTTATTTATATAGCACTTTTCAACACAAGGCAATTCAAAGTGTTTTACAAAAAATGAAAGACATTAAGAAAATGGCATTTAAAATCAGTCATTAAAAAGAAAAGCTAATAAAAGAAACATTAAAAGAAAAAATACATGGATAAAAGTTACAGTGCAGTCTAAGATATGAATAGTTCAATTAAAAGCAGCGGCAAAAAGAAAAGAAAAGTCTTCAGCCTGGATTAAAAAAATTCAGGGGTCTTTTATTAACCTTATTCCAAATAAATCAAATTAATTTGGTGTCTCTTATGGTGTTTTTCTTATTTTTGTATCTTGGCCAGGTGCATAATCCGTATGGTCCGACCACATTCTTAAGAAAAGAAATCTGCATGGCAAGTTTAAAGAGCAGCTTACTTTCTACTCCCTCAACCAATCCTGAATTAAAAAAAGGCCTGAATTTGTCTTGAAAATGCTAATACTTGGGAATTAGGGTTTGATGATTTTTGGGTTCGGTTAGGGTTAGGGTTAAGGAATGCTCCGGTATTGGGACAAAATTAACATGGGATCACTCCGGTCATTGTACGTACTTCGTCTCACTGGAATATTAACGGTCAGATTGAATACAACATTGACCCAATTTCTCCGGTCAATGACGGGAGAGGTTTGAAAGTGACAAAACACTGTTTTCACACATTTAAAAACACTTAAACAATTAAACAATGTTTACCCAGGATTCAGACACCTTCCCTGGGTTACATAGTGCTGTGAAGCAGCCTGTCATCTGGGTGGGAGAGCGAGGTGCTGGAAGGAGCTCTCTGGGTTAGGGTTAGGGTTGTTCTTCACTCAAGTCCAAGAAGTCACAACATCAAGTGAGTTAAATTGAGTTTTCGTTTCTTCTCTGTTGAAGCAGTGAACAAAGGTTTTTGATTTAACAATTAGATGATACAAATGTACAAAAGTTTGTATAAGTAACAGGTTAATGATCCCTGCTGGATTGTGTGTTTCTGTTCCAGCTACACGTGGGCGTTTGAGAAGATCAACCACAGCATGGTCCTGGTGATCACTGGTCAGCTGGTGGGCTCTTATGATGAGGAGTTTAGACGACTTTACGCTCGCTCCACAGTCCCTGCAGTTCTGTCCAAGGAAAAGTCTTTCATCCAGCTCCTGCAAGACGGCGTGACCTTCGGGAGCCCAAACTCCAGCCAGCTTTCCCTCCACCAAATCCACATGAGACCCAAAGTGATGCAAGGCATGAGGAGCGCTCAGGATGGATTTAACAACGGCGCCATGACGAGAGGCCTGAGCGTTCAGGAGAGGCTGAATCAAACTCACTGTTTCGACATGGGGAACCTGGTGCGTGGACACAGTTATGGCGGAGAGCTGCAGAAGTTAAACTCCTCAACTCGACTGAGGATGGGGACTAAAGACCTCGAAGTCCCTGTTGCCCCCGATAAAAAAGGACTTAACTTGCTACAAAACAGGTTGTCTCAACATCACATTAGACACCGAACTCGCTACGGAGCGGACCAAAATCTGATACCATTCAACTCTGAAACATCCCTCCACAGGTGGAAGATGGACGCATACTTTAACGACAGCGACGGGCCTAAAGATGATGCATTATCCCCAATGCCCTCTCCGTATAGCAGCCACACAGGCTTGAATGAGCAGCAATCGCAGATGATCCAACATAGATCGAGGGACATTAAGACCAGGATGGAGGAAATGAGGCAGAAGAGGCTCAGTCTGCAGGACTACAGCAACCTCAGGCAGAGCCAAGAGTCCTTGAGGTCTATGTACCAGGCTCTGGACAGACCAAAGTATTTGTCTTCATTAAGAAGTCTGGACATGAGGCAGAGTATCCCAGAATTAGAGCCAATTGTGCAAAATGGGGTCAGCATGGAACCAACCAATCACAACGACAGTGAGTCAAATAAGGAAGGCGACGAAAGAGAGCAACCTCTCTCTGATGGCCATCGCTCGGCTTCTAACTACGACGTCACGATGGCTCCAGATAAAAAAACAACCCCGAAATACGACTGGCACGAGTCTCTCTCCAGGACAACCTCAGCTGCTGATTTGGAAATACAATTAAACGATCCCTCGCTCAAGCTCTCCCACTTGCAGCCCAGCGGTCTCCAACACCCAAGAGCGATGGAGGCTTTGACGGAGATCCCTGAGGAGAAAGAGGGTTCACGTGTCAACAGCGCCGACTCAGCTGCATTCAAAGAAGCAAATGAGGAGATAGGCGAGAAAGCTCTACCAAAGCAGAACTCTGTGAAATCTAGCATACCTGCAGAACCGAAGCGCCAGGATCAAACCAGACTAAACCCTGGTTCTGTAGGTAAGGCCGCAGAACCAATGCGCCAGGATCAAACCAGACTAAACCCTGGTTCTGTAGGTAAGGCCGCAGAACCAATGCGCCAGGATCAAACCAGACTAAACTCTGGTTCTGTAGGTAAGGTGTCCAACAGCTCAAGCTCAGTCGCTTCACAAGAAAGAAAGAAATCAATATCCAAAGACGAACAAACTGTACCAAAGAGCACTTCCACAGAATCTCAGCATGCCGGTGAAGCTGGGAGTAGTCAAGCGGACAAAAAGCAAACACAACGAGAGGAACCAACCCTTCAAAGGATGAATTCCTTAAGAATGAAAGTACATTCGCTGCTTAACGCTGACGAAAAGAAAGCATCAAAGAAAGAAGAGAAGTCGCTACGAAGAAAGGAATCGCTGAAAACACAAAACCCGTCGGGATCAAACCCACCAATCAGAGCGGACCATTCCCAGGCGGCAGAGCAAACAACACCCAAGAAAGGTAATTCGCCGAGCGTCTCCCGGTCGCAGAGCTCTTTAGCTTCTTCAGCAGACACAGAGAAGCATAAATCTCCGTTCCAGAGATTAACTCCACAGCGATCCAGCAAGAAGAAGCCGAACCCTGCAGGAGAGCAGGAGCGAGGATCGAGGAGCGCTCTGAACGAAGAGGGAGGGATCCCCGCTCGAAACCGCAGAGACCCAGTCTACAGCCGATACGAATACTTGTCCAAACCAGAACTTAAACCTGTGGACAAACAGAGTGGCTCGGACAACAAACTGGGGAAATTCATGCAACGGGTTGGAAATTTGATAAGCAAGAACAAGTAGAGGGTGGAAAAAGTAATAAACGACGCATTGTTCAGGAAGGAAGGCGGTGCTAGTGCGTAATCCATGGATGTTTCTGAAGTTATTCACTGCAAGATTGTTTATATAGCACATACCGACAACTAAGCAACTACACCCAGAACGGTGTTGTGTAAGATATGAATAACTGTTTGATTTAATAAATGGCAGCGACGAAGTCTCTGTACTCCACTCACTACTCTTCAAGGAGTTCTATGTAGAGGTATACATAGTGACTTCATCTGCCAAAAAAGACTTTTAACAGACTCAATTCGGGTCACCGTTAATAATGTCATTGCTGTCTGAGAAAAGGAAAGGTAAGAGGTACTTTATTGATCCCAAACTTGGATTTGTTTGCATTGCAGCAGCATAAAAAACTAAACAAAACAAGGCATTGCACATGAGTAGAAATGACCGATATAAATACATATTATAATGAGCATCCATTAAATAGGGTAAAATAATTGTTGTTGTACATTCCCACTACAGATTGGTCACTATAGTAGAGTAGTGGTAAGTGATTTTGGACACAGCCCGTATTGTTCATTGCTTTATTTGGCTTCCCAACAGAGACACAGTTGGGTGGTTATCACTGCAGCATGCAACATGTTTCTTTTGTTGGATAATGTGTCTTATCGGGGAACACTGTTACCAAAACAAAAGATGCCATTTAACAGGTGTCTGCTTCTAAATGTGTGACCATGAATCGGACGTTACAGGGAAGCCGGGTTGTCAGTCAAGGTGTTTACATTATTAAGATATTGCAGGGTGAATATGACAGTCTAATGCTCAAGCCCGCCTTAACCTGCCATCAGGCCCTGGGGCTGATGGGTTTGTAGGCCCCCTATTTAAACAACAAATCAAAGTCATTTATAGCCTCGGCAGGCTCTGTGATCGCACTTCTCCACTCTGCTCTATGTGCGCCTGGTCCTCTCCTCCAGATGAGTGACGTATCGGGCCTCCCTCATGTATTTGTCCGGTTGCCGTTGGCTCCCCTCCACGTAGCAAGTCCTCGTCATCCTCTCCATCTCCTCCAACATCCCTCATGTTTGTTTTTCCTCTCCCGCTATCAGAACCAGACGGCCTACTTGGCTCCGAGGCCCCGCGGCCGCTCGGTACAGAACTAATCTGTCCTTCCTCCTCATCCTGGCCTACAGGTTTAAAACAACCTGTAAGCTTCCGCATTTTTTGTAATAGCTGCTTGTCTCCAAACTCCTTTTCCCTCAACAATTTCCTTTTCCGAGCGCCACTCTCAAACTTTTTCTTCTCAAACTTTTTCTCCTAAACAACCTTCATCCGTCACTCAATCACTCGCAATTTGAAAAAGTCACATGTGAAACATATTCTCATTCTGATTGGCTGTTAAGTGGTGCCCACTGACAGTTACGGAGTCATCTCTGGAATCCATCGATCTGATTGATTAGCGGAGCAAATGATAAAAATAGTAGGGAAGATATTTTCGTTTGGATTACTGGTCTGGGGGAAGCTCACAAGTGTGTGTGTGTGTGTGTGTGTGTGTATACGTGTGTGTTTGTGTATTTTTGCATTTGTGTGTATTGTGTTTGTTTCCCGGGGAAAACACTCACGAGAAACACCGGCTGTTGTTGTGCCTGCTGTGACGTCAAGTTACTCCGTTCTCCGCTTGTAATTATGCCGAAGCTTCAAAGTTGTATTTATCATCTGAATTTGCCGAAACAAGTTTAATATTCTGAAAGCCAAGACTTTGTTTATTTGAAACCAGATGAAAACAAACTGGAACGGACCCTGCCGTGTTATCTATGATTACTATACGCCTTTCATTCATAATTTCAGCCGAGGGAGGGGAACAGCAGAACAGCAGAGTGGCGAGGGAGAGCTGTCTTCTTCCCTTTACAAGCTTCAGAAATGTATTTATCGTGTGATTTTGGAAATAAAAGTTTCATATTCTGAAAGCCAAGACTTTGTTTATTTAAACATTTTTAAAAACATCCGAAATAAAAAACATTTTTTAAAAGATTTTTTTATTGGCTCATGATAGGGATTTTTATTTTTGAACGTTTATTAAGGACAGGATATAAGTATTGTGTGTGTATCAGAGCCTGATATGTATTTTTGCCATAGAGCTCCATGTGTATATAAAAACTATGAAACACATGAACACACTCAATTCCACACACCATCCCGATGCCATAAATACTCACCAAATGTGTATTAATCCACCGCTGAAAATAGTCCCCAACAAACGCACTATTTCCTCCTGTGTGCTATTACAGCTTTAGGAAGAACATCAGACGGACTTATGGGATGTTGTATAGCAAACCTTACCCATCGTTGTATTTTCCCTTTGTCTCATTTGTCAATTATATATGTTTTTAATGGGCTTCATGTTGTACATTTTATATTGTTGTTGTTTATGAGTTGTCTTATGATGATTATGATATCTACTGCTCAACTGTTGTCATCCTCATGGATATGCATGATTGTTATACTGAGTAATCCAGATGTTTAATACAACTAAACATACAATAAAACAGTGTTTAACTAAAGGGAAATATATCATTTAAAACAGTGGTCGCCAACCAGTCGATCGCGATCGACCGGTCGATCGCGAGTGTGGTGCGGGTAGATCGCGGACCGTTAAAAAAAAAGTAACAAAAGAAAGAAAAATAAAATAAAAATAATAATGTTTGAAAAATACGTTTTTAGATGTAAACCTATCATCCACCACCCCGTTAGCAGGTGCCACTTGATTGACGTATATTTGAGACACTTCAATAATATAATACATTAAACGTGATTTACGTGAACCTCATCATGACACAAGAGAGGACGGCAGGACTGCAGTTTCCCGTGTTCAGTGAATGCAACAGAGGCAAGTCACCAGACCAATCAGAGAGTTGCATGGAAATACACGTGTGCTTGTGTCATTCAAGCTCGGCTCTGTGTGTGTGTGGCAATAGCGCATTTAGTGTAAGAGAGCTAGAGAGAAGAGAGAGGAGAGAGAGAGAGGAGAGAGAGAGAGAGAGAGGAGAGAGAGAGAGAGAGAGAGAGAGAGAGAGAGAGAGAGAGAGAGAGAGAGAGAGAGAGAGAGATAGAAGATAATGAGAGAGATAGCGCGAGAGATAGCTAGAGGATCAATAGAGAGCGATAGCAGTAGAGGCTAGAGAGAGATTCGAGAAGAGAGAGAGAGAGAGAGCGGTGCTAGCGGGGACCGTGATGTTAGCATCTGGTTAACTAGCTGCACTAACGGACATAAGGAGCTGTTTCCACAACAAGCTCGAGGCGAGTCCTCCCCTGTCAGACTGAGGGGCTCAGGTGAGCTAAAGGACTCTCTGAGTGTTTAGAACGGTTTTGTCTAGGGATGCTCCGATCGCCAATTTCGGGGCCGATCGCCGATCGCCGGAATCAGTATCGGCCGATACCGATCGCCGATCCGATCGAGTGGGCGGGGCCTAAATGGAAGATTTAAACATCACTTTAAATCTTCCATTTAAAGTGATGTTTAAAACTCAGTTAATGGGGCTCATTCACGGGAGCTTCCACAAACAACAATCAACTTAATTATTACATTCAAATGATGTACATTATTCAAGTTTACATTCACTTTGGATAATAACACGGGAGAAATTAGCGGAAGCGCTCGATTTTCCTCTCTCTCTCTCCCCCCTCTCTCCCTCTCCTGACAGCCTGTCAGTATCTCATGCAGCTCACTGATCCAGTAATGAGTGACCCGACAATGAAGAATACATATATTTATAATAACTAGTTTAGCTTGTTCCAGAGGTAAAATAACTAAGTGTGTTAGGTCTAACTCTTACGGTACGTCCACACAGCAGCTTTTCAAAAATCTTGAAAATCTTGGAGCTGGGCGTGTCTGAAAGCTTGGGGATTTTTTGCGAGCAACGCGACCAACAACCAATCACATGAATCTCCCGCCCCCGACATACAAAGCAAAAAAAAACGGGGATTTTATGCGAGCAATATATATATATATAAACTCCCCAAACAGGCGAAAACCTACCAGTTTCACCCACTGTCTCTGCCACCTCCCTCCATGCCTGGTTCCTCCGGTTTGTATCCCGTTAATAGTTCTGGTCGTAAAGAACCGGGTGATTTGCTACCGTAATTTCTCGTTTGGAATATGAGGAAATGAACTGCGGTCTGGTTCTCCCTGTGTGTGTGTTTCGCTGCGCTTACCGGTCCGGCGGGCGGAGCTGCAGGATTTCTGCTTCACACACGTTGCATACCGCTATTTTGCTGTCTTTTTCGGACACCTTAAAATAATGCCAGACCGGTGAAGCCATTTTGGCGAGCTTGTTTTGCCGGACACAGAGAAAAGTGTCATGTATTTTACATCATGCGATCGGCTCTGTTTAGAGAGAACCGATCGATCGGTAGAGAGTGAGTATCGGCCGATCTCGATCGGTGACCGATCGATCGGAGCATCCCTAGTTTTGTCACAAATTATTCAAAAGATTATTTCCGCGGCACACCTTCATATGATCATTATAGTTATACAAACAATAAGCGAATAACTGAAAAACAGGTATGAAATACTATATGGCAGTAAAACAAGAATACAGTATAAAAGGGGAGTGATTTGTAAAATATCCATAAAGAAAAAGAAAATCTGTTTACAGTTCTGTTTCAAATGGGTGCTGAGAGATGTATCCATAGATCTCTTCATGTTGCTCTCAAAGTGCACCAGATTGATGCTTTCAACTTCAATATTTTAAAAAAAATCTTCCAGGGGGAACATTCCCCCGGACCCCCCTGGAGGAGGTGAAGTCCGCCCCCCACTCGTAAAAAATAGCACTTTACCCCTGCCTATATGCCTTGAGCTGATTATGGAGCCTTCATTGTAACAGTAATTCAGATGCAATTAGCCTATATAAAAGGCCTCAAATTGGAAGCACTGTCTGGGCCGTCTTTTTCACTCAATTCTGCAATAGGTAGATCTCGCCTTTCACCTAGGCCGACGTCGGTGATCTTGGGCTTAAAAAGATTGGTGACCACTGATTTAAAACAAGACTTCAGTGGGACCAATAAGGTATCTCTTTTACAAAGTCTCAATTACTTTTTAATACATTTTCAAACCTCACTGGGAACAGCTTTTTTTAAATCCACTTTCAACTAGGTCTGTTGACTAACTACGGCATTGCTTTTATAAAACCATTATGTTGCATATTGTATTGTTACTTTCTAATGCAGGTAG